GGGGGGTGGGGGGATGGGTTAGCCTGGTGATGGGTATTAAAGAGGGGAAAAAAAAAAAAAAAGCCATGACGTCCTTCACCGAACGTTTGTGTAAATCGTTTTGGTTTTCCTGGTGGTGGGAAAGGAAGTACCAATGCCATGTAGACACTATGGAAATTCATTTCGCAGTTTTTGAAGGATGTTGTCATGAAAAGAATAAAAGGCAACACTGCTAGGATGTGAGAGTAAACTTTGAAGAGCCTGCTCAGAATCCCAAGTGGTGGGGCGCCTGGGTGGCTCAGTAAGTTAAGCATCGGACTTTTGATTTTGGCTCAGGTCTTGATCTCAGGATCATGAGCTCAAGCTCCATGTCAGGCTCTGGGCGTGGAGTTTGCTTGAGATTCTCTCTTTCTCCCTCTCCCTCTGCCCCCACCCCCCAATCACTCTCAATCTCCCAGAAGAAGAAGAAGAAGAAGAAGAAGAAGAAGAAGAAGAAGAAGAAGAAGAAGAAGAAGAATCCCAAGTGGCCCAAAATCTAGGGCAGTGAATAAACCCAGAACTCCAGCTGCTGGAAGAGGAAGGCAGCTAGTGATGACCTGTGGAGGGAGCCCCCACTTGCAGGAGGTAGGTGAAAGAACGAAAGAGAGAGGGAACACTCCAGAGTGCTCAGAGAGAGTCTAGCTTACAATAGGAATATATTTCTCATGCCAACTTGCCTATCCAGGAGCCATCCCTTTGGCCATATTGATTGTGAGCTGTGCAGGTAAGCAGACGCAGGCAAGTAGAGGTGAGGATGTGACTCAGAAAGTGTCTAAACAAAGATAGTGTTCCTGAACGATCAGCAGATGATAACTGCCACCACCCTTCTCCTGGATAATAGGAGAATCCGTCCTTCCCACCTTCTCCCTCAAGTTTTGGCACTGAACTCTAGAAGGCCCAGCCTGCAGCTCTGCTGGAAATGTGGCTTGAGAGCTCCACAGCAGTGGTGAGCACACTTTGTGGAGGGATCCTTGAGTCCAGCTCTGCAATCCCACAATGCCCAAGTCAGTGGTCCATCCTGTGCATCTTTAAAGTGATCTGGAGACAGAGCTGAGCCAGAAGCACCAGTCTCGATGCTTTCCATGATGGAAGGAAAGAGCCACCCTTTCACCCAACAAAGGATGCTCCCTGCGAGGGGTCAGGGATCAGAACAACCAGAGCGGGCCCAGCTTCTGTCACGTGTTGGCGCTTTCCTTCTCCTTGTGCCTTGGAAGCAGTATCCTGAGCAGACATGGGGTGATGCCCCACCTCCTCGTTGATCCCTCCCACATCCCAGATGCACATGCCTACTACTTCCCACCTGCAGCTCATGCAGGCTCAGCCATCCAACTACCAACCAAGGCTTGGACTTAGAAACTGAAGCTGCTCTCTGGAAGAACACTGGAAGACCTTGTGTCTTCATTCAAACTCTGGGCCAACGCTACAGGCACAGCCCCACCACATGTCACTTTCCCAAGCCTGACACCTTTTCTAGACACATTTCCAGGATGAGCAAATGAAATAGCAGTCACACCTCCACTTGGGTCCCAAGACAATGTGGACAACTTTCTCTGCACTTTCTACTCCAAGAGCAGATACTTCCCCCAGCATGCTCTGCTTGGGAGGAGAACACTGATAGACTCAGGAAGATGCCTCCTTTCTCTGTGTGTGAGGACTCTCCTGGAGATCTACCAGAATCTCTCCGGTGCTGCAAAAACAGCCACTCTTAGATGAAAAGAAGTTTGGAGAAATGCCCGGGGCAGGCAAGAGGAAGGATCAGGTTAATATCCACTCCTTTCTCTTAGTATCTGAGCAATCTGGAAACTGTATCAGTCAGAAGAGGTTAAGTCATGCTGCGGTAACAAAAGACTCCCCAAATCTCACTAGGTTCAAATAATAAAAAGAATTTATTTCTTGCTCGTCCTGCACGTCCACATTGGCAGAGGGCTCAGCTCCTTGGAGCCACATAGGAACGCGGACTGATGGAGTAGCCACTATATCCAATGTTATAAGTTACTGTATCAGGAAGAAAGTGATCTGGAGAGGGTCTTATATCGGCAATGAAACAGTCCAGTCTAAAAGTGACAACGTGTCACTCTATTCACAGTGCACTGGTCAGAACTAGTCATTTAGATGCATCCAATCACAGGGGGGCCAGGATATGCAATCCTCTCCTGCTCCAGAAATGAAGAGAATCAGAAATGCTTGGCAAATTGCATTAATGATGGCCACAGAGTATATGTGATAAGGAAGCCAGCTCCTGGAAAAAGACCACCCTTTGCATCAAGCTCAGAAACAGCCCTTCACCCTTTGAAGCCAGGAGAGGCCCTGTGATGATCCCAATGGGTGGGTCAAGAGAGGAAGTGGTGGCCAGAGGGTGTTCTGCAAGAGAGATTTTGTTACCCTCTAGTGACATTTATTGAACAACAACATTTACTATGATGGATGGCTCCTGGAAGCATGACATTTAAATGTTTATTGATCCCCTTGTAAGCTGGACAGGACCCAGGAGATGCTCAGAACCAGGCCCAGAGCCAAGCAGGCCAGCTGCACTGTGTAAAGTGGGGCTGACAGATGCCCCAGCATCCAGCCCACTAAGGGCACGTCTTCCTCACCCAGGGGGGACACACAAGAAGGCTTAAAGTTCAGTTCTCCCTTCATAAAGGCCAGGCTGCATCAGTCCAGAGGGTGAGCCCGGCAACTAGCTCACTCTTTTCTTGTTTTTCTTCAAATTCACACTGAGGATTTCTTGTCTTACTCACTCTTCAACTGTGTGATGACTGTCAGTGGTAACAGGTACAAAGCCTTCTAGACTGTCCCTCCCCGGCATACTTTCGCAGAAGCACAAGCCAACTGCAGTCCCACCCCTCTCCGAGGCCTCCCTCCTATCTCTCTCAGGGCCTTCTGGGAACCAGAACCTCCATCCCAGCAAACGGGGTATGGAATTCTCCCTTCTTTCTGAGTGATGCCGAAGATGGAGGAAAGCTGGAGTATGAATACCGCGGTTAAACAGGCACAGTGGAGTGTGGAGTTCTGAGGCTGGCTTCTTTTGGGAGGGAAAAATCAGGAACTCTGCAGAACATAGGCTGCAGTGGGAAGGGTTATTTGAAATCTGGTTTGAGTCAGGAGCGTGGGAGTCTTGGTAGAGGAGGCTGCAACAGGTCAGGGGTAGCCAAGGACTCTGAGGAGACTGGTGGTGGTGGGGCGGTGGCGGGGGAGGGGGGACAGATAGAGGGTAGCAGCGTGCCTTCCCAAGCTCACATAGCCAGTCATCGGCAGAATAGGGGCACAATCTGGGGATCCTGTCCCCGTGCCCTTTGCAGCGAGAGGAGACTGTGTGGACTCCAGGCAGCCAAGGTCAACTTATCCTTGGACTTTTAAAAGCAGAGAAGCGCTGAGACAGGAGCAGCACACAGCTCATGGCTCAAATCCTTGAGGACTCTGAAGAACAGGGCTCCCAGTGCCCTGGGGCCAGGAAGAAACAGAGATAAAATGCAAGCTATGCTTTCTGTGAGACTAATCCTTTCTTGGTTTACCATTCAGGCTCTTGAGGGAGCTGCAAGTGAAATGGGACTTCAACTGCTTGCATAAGGTTGACAAGAAATAGATCAGTCATAATTTTTCACCTTGAAAAGATTTTCCTCTAATACCATATTCAGAAGGCTTCTTTGAGTTGTAAGTGACACACGCAATTTCAACTGGATT